ATGGTAAAATTAATCATCGTTCAGACAAGAAACAAGAAAAAAATAAAATGATTTCATTTCATTTAATTCCTTCTATTTTCAAAAGCACACAAGCATTTTGCTATGCAGAAAAGAAATTGTCATGACTTGTGGCTATAAAGAAATTGCCATGACTTGTGGCTTATCTTGTACAACTTGTTTCTACGGGGCTGATTGCGCACTCCCCGGTCCCAATGATGTATTATGTTTCGAATTTTTCTTCCCCGATTGACGTGGCATTCCGTGTTGCCTGGCATTCAGTGTTATCGTAACCTCATATCATTCCCCCTAGTATTCGAATACGAAGAATGCGAATTAGAACACTGAAAGCCTTGTACCTTCGAAGATCCACCAATGAATTGCTAGGTAATCCTTCACTCGGCAACATATCTTGTTTCCCATTAGGAACTAATGCTATCGAGCGAAAGAATACCTAACAATCCTCTAGTAGTTTGTGCTCGTGAACGATCGGGTAACCTATTTTCGGTAGCAAACTTAACTTCCCGGTGGGAATTAGCTATCGAAGCAAAGATTATCTAATCGTCCCCGAGTGGAAACTTTCCTCAAGACCAAGTCTCCTACTTTGAAACGTGCGCCAAGTCCCTGCGTTCCTCAAGCAGCTCCAAGTTGATTAGCATTGCTTCGTTGTTCGATCCTTCACTCGCCTCGAAACACCTTAAGGTTGGTTCCCCCACTTCCACCGGTATCAAATCTTTTGCACCGTATACAAGGGAAAAAAGAGTCTCTCCCGTGCTTGACTTGGCCGTTATTCGGTAGGCCCATAGAACCCTAGGTAATTCTTCGGGCCAGTTGCCTTTTGCCGTTTCCAACCTTTTCTTGAGGTTTTGAATAATCACTTTGTTTATTGACTCCGCTTGACCATTTGCACTCAGATGATAGGGTGAAGAGGTAATCTTCTTTATCTTCAAGCCTTCAAGGAACTTTGTAACTTTTGCGCCGATAAACTGCGAGCCATTGTCGCATGCAATCTCTTTTGGTATTCTAAACCTGCAAATTATATTTTTTCACAGGAAGTCGACCACTTCGCGTTTTACAATCTCTGATAAGGACCTGCTTCCACCCATTTAGAAAAATAGTTAGTCAAAATTAAAAGAAACCTGACCTTTCCTGGAGCCGGTAGTAGTGGTCCGACGATGTCCATCCCCCATTTCATGAATGGCCACTGGGACAGAACCGAATGTAGGGGTTCTGCCAGTTGATGTACTAGTGGTGCGTAGCGTTGGCACTTATCATATTTTCGTACGAAGTCTTTGGCATCTTGTTCCATACGGGGCCAGTAATATCTTGGCCGAACTAATTTCACCACCAAAGAATCTGCACCCGAGTGGTTGCCGCATATCCCTTCATGGACTTCTCTCATGACATAGTTAGATTCTGATACTCCTAAGCACCGGGCCAACAGGCCTTGAAAGGATTTTCTATACAATTGGCCTTTCTTGAAGCTATAACGTGCAGCTTTGGCGCGCAACGCTCTTGATGCTTTGGGGTCTTCGGGCAACTTTCCATGCTCGAGATAATCGATTATTTAGTTTCTCCATTCCCAGAACAAACTAGTCGAATTCACCTCATAGTAACTATCTGTGTCCAAGGCTGAGTTCATTAGTTGTACTACCGTCCCTAATTCTGATCCTTGGATTTCTATTGATGAGCCCAACTTTGCCAATGCATCTGCCTCTGCATTATCTTCCCCCGGGATATGAGTTATTGACCACTCCCATAATCGTGCCAATAGAGCCTGAACCTTTACTGTGTATTGTTGCATATGTTCATCTTTGGTGTCAAAAATTCTGTATACCTGATTTACCACTAACTGCGAATCACATTTGATTTCGATGACTTTGGAGTCAAGTCCTCGGTCCAATTCGAGCTCTGCAATCAAAGCTTTGTACTTTGCTTCATTATTAGTAAAAGAAATCGTTCTGATGTCTTGCCTTAAGGTTTCCCAAGAAGGCGTGATTAAAACTATTTTGAGCTCGGACCCTTTTACGTTTGAAGCTCCGTCCGTAAATAAGGTCCAAACTTTCGATGTTGATTCTGACACTATTATTGCCCTCTTAGCTTCCAGAGACAATAGTCCCGGACTGAAGTCGGCCACGAAGTCAGCCAAGACTTGCGACTTAATTGTTTTCCTCGGTTTATGCTCTATATCAAATTCGCTCATTTCGACGACCCATTTGGCCAATCTACCCGAGAGCTCGGGTTTATGGAGGAATTCCTCAAAGGGAAAGTAGTTACCACAGCTCGGGTGGTATTGGAAGTTGGGCTTCAGATTCCGAGAGGCGACTACAAGAGCTAAGGCCAGCTTTTCCAGATGTGGGTAGCGAGTTTCTGCTCCCATTATAATCTTGCTAACATAATAAATAGGAGATTGCGTACCTTCGTCCTCTCAGACTAAAACTGCACTCACCGTAACTTCTGAAACCGCGAGGTAGAGTAGCAACATTTCACCTTCCTTTGGTTTTGAGAGCAACGGAGAGCTTGACAAATATTTCTTCAACTCCCTCAAGGCTTGATGACACTCCGATGTCCACTCAAAATTGTTTTTCTTTTTGAATAGTGCAAAGAAGCGATGGCATTTTTCCGATGAACGGGAAATGAACCTGCTCAAAGCTGCCAATCTCCATGTGAGCCGTTGGACTTCTTTTACATTAGACAATTGATCCGGGATGTCCTCTATGGCCTTGATTTTGTCAGGATTTTCCTAAATTCCCCTTTGTGATACTAGGAATCCTAGGAACTTACCCGAACTTACCCCGAACGCACACTTCTCGGGATTAAGTTTCATATTATGCTCCCTCAGGATGTCAAATGTTTCTTGCAAATGCTTCAAGTGGTCACCTGCATTCAAAGACTTAACGAGCAAATCATCTATGTATACTTCCATAGCCTTTACTATTTGTTTTTCAAATATCTTATTCACGAGCCGTTGATAAGTGGCTCCGGCGTTTTTATCTCGAAGGCATCACATTGTAACAATATATACCAAAACTCGTTATAAACGAAGTCTTTTCCTAATCTCCCGGGTTCATCTTGATTTGATTGTACCCAGAATAAGCATCGAGGAAACTCATTAACTCGTGCTCGACCGTAGCATCAATCATCTGATCGATATTTGGTAATGGGAATGAGTCTTTCGGGCACGCCTGATTAAGATCCTTATAATCTACGCACATGCAAAATTTATTATTTTTCTTAGGTACTACTACTACATTGGCTAGCCAGTCCAGATATCTTACCTCTCGGATTGAACCAATATTAAGTAAACGAGTTACCTTTTCTTCGATGAATTTATTCTTTGCTTCAGCAATAGGGCGTTTCTTTTGCCTTACCGGAGGTATGTTGGGATCCAAGCTTAACTTGTGTACAACTATCTTCGTTGGGATGCCTGTCATATCTTCGTGCGACCATGCGAAACAATCGGCGCTAATTTTAAGGAATTCAATAAAAGTAGACTTGTGCTCCGGGTGCAGTCCTATTCCCAAATGGAATTTCCTTTCTAGGAATTCTTTGAACAATGCAACATGCTCCAGTTCTTCTGCCGTGAACTTCGTCGCGTCCGTCTCTTCCGATACTTAAAAATACCTTGGTACCTGATGTTGTTCCGATTCTTTTGTCCGCGGATTATCTTCCTCTGGCTCGGGGGCAGGTGCCGGTTTCGGTAATTGGTATGATGCATGTTCCTTTCCTTTGCTACTAGAAACCGAAATTGCATTCATCCCCCTTGCTGTCGGTTGATCACCCCTTATCTCTTTGATCCCCTCGGGTGTCAGAAACTTTAACAGTTGGTGATATGTTGAAGGCACAACTTTCATCTCGTGCAGCCATGGTCTTCCCAAGATGATATTATATTTCATGTCTCCATCTACCACTTCAAAGAGAGTTGTCTTCATTACTACCTCAACGTTTGTGAGCAGTAAAATTTCTCCTCGAGTTGTCATGCTTGTGAGGTTGAATCCAGCAAGGAGTTTCGTTACCAGGATAATGCTTCCGGTGAGTTTAGCTTGCTCCAGTACTCTCCATTGCATAATATTAGCGAAACTTCCTGGATCCACTAAAACACGTTTAATTTTAAAATCCAATACATTTAAAGAAATTACCAGTGCGTCATTGTGCGGCAGCAGTAATCCATCTGCATCTTCATCCGTGAATGCGATATCGTCTTCCCGGAGCCTTTTACTATGAGTTGTCGATACTTTTGTCTTCTTTGCTGCCAAAAAGGTCACCCCGTCAATTTCATTCCCTCTGAAGATCATGTTGATCAATTGGCGTGGAGGTTCTTCTCATGTTTTCGAGGTTTCACCACCGCCTCTGCTCCGACCATAATTATTTTTAGCTCGGTCGCTCAAGAATTATCTGAGATGATCATTCTTTAACAGTGTTGCCACTTCTTCCCGGAGGTGTCGGCAGTCCCCAGTCCGGTGGCCGTTAGTGCCATGGTATTCACACCATAAATTGGGATCCCTCTAGCTAGGATTGGATTTCATAGGTCTTGGGAATCATGCCTCTTTGATATTCCTCATGGCCGACACCAACTCTACTACACTGATATTGAAGTTATATTATGATAACTTTGGGTAAGAAGGATCTCGCGTCCTCCAGATTCTTTATCCTGCAGTGATCTGTTGTTCCGGCCACGATCTATCCTTCTATCAACGGTGAACTTGTTTATTGTACTAAAACTCCTGTCGCGGCCTTCTGTCCGCTCGTAGGGCAAAAACCGGCCCCTCGAAGTTCGTCTATCTGTGTCAATATCATCTTTCATTTTTTCTCTGTTCTTCTCTCGTCCTTTGGTCGATGATGGGAATCCAACCTGATTATCTTTGGTCCTTAGTTGCGACTCGTACCGGTTGCGGACATCCGCCCAAGTCATCGCTTGGAACTCGAAAAGACTTTCCTTCAACTTTCGGGAAGCGTCCGAACTTCTCAAATTTAAACCTTTAGTGAATGCTTCAGCTGCCCATTCATTCGGGACCGCCGGTAGTAACATCTTTTCCTTCTAGAACCGGGTGACGTACTCCCATAATAACTCGGACTCTCCGTGCGCGATCCTGAATATGTCGGTCTTTCGGGCCTGCACCTTTAGGCACCGGCATGAGCCTTGATGAAAGAATCCGCGAGCACCTCCAAGGAATCTGTGGAATGCTCTAGCAATAGTGAATACCACGTTAAAGCTCCCATCGTGAGAGTCTCACCAAATTTCTTCAGCAACACGTACTCAATTTCGTGAGGAGCCAAATCATTTCCTTTCATTGCTTTTGTATAAGTGGTAATGTGCTCCTGCGATTATGAAGTTCCATCATACTTCGGCACTTCGGGCATTTTGAACCGCTTCGGGATTAGTTCCGGGGCCGCACTCGGCTTGTGATTTTTGCTAAGACAACAATAATCAAACTTATTAGTAAAAAAGGCAAGGATCAATTTAATTGTATGACTGTCTAGGCCCCACGGTGGGCGCCAAACTGTTTACCCGAAAAATGGTACAGTTGAATTTGTTCGTGGTTTCTAGATAAGTGAATTAATTCGATCCAAAAAGTAATGAAATAACTCGTGAAATATGAAATACTTAGCCTTAGAATATAGAAGAAACAGCAGAGCTATCGAGTCCGGAAACAAGGTTTTCGGGCACAACAATGATAAGATCAAAAACGAGAGGATCAAATTGTATTAAAATGTTGTATAAAGTGTAACATAAGTTAGCTAGGAAATTACTCCCCCTTACAATGATCACTGAGCTCTCTATTTATAGCTATGTCTAGGGAAGGAAGTTCTAGGATTATGCTCTTCTTTAATGTCAATTATGAGGGCCATTGATGCAGATGTAACGTTAGACATAAATGCCAAATTCCTTGTAATGGACCATCATCCTTAATGCTGCGAAATATTTCATATTAAATGTTACCAGACGCAAAGCATTTAATACTCATTTTATGATCATTATTCCTTCCTGTGACAAGCGGAATAGCTATGTTCGGTGGCCATCTCCATCTTATGTTTCACGTGTCCTTCCTTTAAGCGGCCACATATCATGTTGTATTTTTCTTTATACATCTACTACTATTAGTTATAGTAATTAACGTTTTAAATGCGACATCGCTTACATAAAATCAAGCATATGCTATTGTTCTCATACGTGGTATATGAAGTATCAAATGCTGGAAATCACGGTTAGCTTATGAGCATCTTTTATTTATAAGTTTATCCAATCATTCTCTAAGCTTATAAGATAAATTTTAGTTTTTAAAAAAAAAACATTTGGTGAAATAATCAAAGTATGTACATATAAATTTTAAAAAATAAATAATACATAAATACTCTTCTAACTTGTCTCCTTTTTAATTATACATTTTAACTTTGCAATAAGCGTATCATTCTTTGGGTAAAATAGAATTATTATCATTTTAAGAGACCACAAATCCAAATTTAAGTGCACAATGCGCCTTTTTCACATTATTTTCTATTCAAAATGCAATTTAATCTTTTTACACTCTTTAGTTAAGTGTATATACTTTCTTTGTCATGTTAGCCAATAAAAGTATAATAACTCTACTTCAGAATAGTTCAAAGGTCATAAGATCATGATTTTAAGTGTTTAGGTAAAAATGAGAACAAAATATATTTTCCCAATACAAAAATAGCATAAAAATACAACAGTGAGAGGGAAGGAGGCACCAAGACAAGATATATCAATGTGCAACAAGAATTCGACGTTATTTAAATGTATCCAGATGACGAAGGTAATGTAAGAGTCACTTTTGTCTGAAGAGAGTCAAAAAGAAAAAGAAAAAGGGAAAGAAAAACATTTTAAAAAAAGAAGACAAATGGCTAGTAAAGACTTCGTGTATTTTCATATCTTAGCTATATATTGGTATCAATATTGATGCTACTTGCCCTATGTGTAAAAATTCGGATGAGCATACTTTCCTGGATTGTCCTATAGTTAGACACTTCTGAAATAATATAAGTATATCAAACATTATATCCCGTCGATCAGTGAGAAAAATTATGGAGAATCTCCAAAATCTTGTATATTGATTTCTTGATCTTATAGTTTGTGTACAATGACCTATTTATATACAAGGAATTAGAAAGAATATTTCTAGTTATGAAAGAGAAGATGTTCACTCTGTCTCACTTATGTCCAAGATACCTTTAGACTTAGGCACCTTTCTTTTTCACATTATTCGAACAAATAGCACTAACAGTTCCCAATAACTTTATCCAAAGACCGTGAAATATTTTTCACATCATTCGAACAAATAGCACTAACATTTCCCAACAACTTTGTCCAAAGACCGTGAAATTATTGCGTCGATTTTCTTTCCGGCAACACCCCCCTCAAGTGGGATCCAGTAGATCGGACTCCCAACTTGCTTATAATTGATCAGGAAGAGGCCTAGATAGGGCTTTGGTGAATACATCTGCAATTTGAGAAGAAGAAGGAACGAAGGATAGCGAAATCAACCCATCTAGCAATTTCTCACGAACGAAGTTGCAATCAAGCTCTACATGCTTGGTTAGTTCATTAAAGACATTATTTTTAGCTATATGTATAGCGGATTGATTATCACAGTGAAGCGACACAGGTAAGGAGGGAGGAGTTGAAAGATCTTGTAGAAGGCGGACAATCCAACTAATTTCCGCAACAAGCCGACACATAGAACAGTATTATGCTTCTGCCGAAGAAAGGGCGACTATCGGTTGTTTCTTTGATTTTCATGACACCGGACAACCTCCAAGACTTATAAAAAATCCACTTACAGATCGTTGTATATCGGACCAAGATGCCCTATCGGAATCGCAATAGGCCAAGAGCTGAAAAAAGGGATCCAGAGATATGAATAATCCAAGTCCTGGGTCTCCACATAGATATCTTAGAGTATATAGAGCTTCCTGAAAATGCCCAGTGCAAGGGGATTGCATATGTTGACTTAGAGTTTGAACATCAAATGAGATATCTGGTATGGTATTCATCAAAAAATTCAACTTTCCTAAGAGCCGCCGATATATTGTAGGATCTTTCAAAGGAGTGCCGCAATTAGCTGAAATTTTGATAGTTGGATCCAACGTGCTTGAGGCTGGTCGTTCTTCTAAACAATCGAACTCAGCGAAAAGTTCTAGAGCAAATTTTCGTTGAGTGATGATTAATCCTCCAGATTCTCGAAGAAGCTCCAAACCCAAGAAGTAGTGAGCTTCTCCCAAGTCTTTTATTCTAAATTCGGTATCAAGAAAATATTTGGTTTCATCAATATCTTCTTGATTGTTCCCAGTTATTAAGATGTCGTCGACATAGATGGCCAAAATAGTGATGAGATTCCCAGAAGTCTTAAAAAAGAAAGAGTAATCATTCAAAGATGAAGTGTATCCTCTAGTCCCTAAAGCAGAATATAACTTAGCATACCATTGGCGTGATGCCTGTTTAAGTCCATATAGTGATTTCCGAAGTCGACACACGTGTGAAAGGGGAGCTGCCAGACCAGGAGAAAATTTCATGTAAACCTCTTCGTCCAGATCGCCATGTAGAAAGGCATTATTGACGTCGAGTTGGTGTAAAATCCAATTCCTCTTAACTGCTATGCTTAAAAGACATCGAATTGTGGTCATCTTTACCACTAGAGAAAAGGTCTCGGTATAATCAATTCTTTCTCGTTGTATATCTCCTCTTATAACTAATCAAGCCTTTTCATCTTTCCAAGGATCCATATGACTTTAACTTAACTTTGTACACCCATTTGCAGATCAACGCTTTTCTTTCTTGGGATAGCTTTACCACATCCCAGGTGTGATTGGAATCAAGTGCTGCAAATTCTTTTTCCATGGCATCCTGCCAACCCGGATGCTTCATTGCTCGTTGGTAAGAAGTAGGCTCTATAATCTGACATATAGAATTAACTATATCTTTGTTTTGTTGTGTTAAAATAGAGAAAGAAAATGAGTGAATAGGAAGAAAAATAGGGGGGGGGGGGTTAGGAGAAATCGCAGAGTAAGCAGAGTTACATATGTAATCTGATAAATACTTAGGTGCATTATGTATTCTATCAGATCTGCGCAAAACCGGTTCTTCTGCTGTAGATAGAACTTCATCAAGACTAGGGAAAAGTTCAGGAGACCTGGAGTAATGATTTGGACTAAAACTTACATCATAAGAAACTTCAGGGGATTGATTTAAAGTGGTTGGTAGTTCATGTGACTAAGATGTAATGTCGTTGAGTGATGAGGGTTCAGGTGAAGTAGATTTTCCTTGAATTATCAGAGGCTGATCTGCTAAATCAGTAGATGAAGGAAAACAGGCAGGAAACAAATGTGATATAGGTTTTGAATATGAAAAAGGGAAGATATTTTCAATGAATTTCACATCTCTTAAAATGAATATTTGATTTGATTACAAACTATGAACTTTGTATCCCTTCTTACCATAGGGATAACCTAAAAATACACCTGGTAAAGCCCTAGGATCTAGCTTATCCCTATTTCTAGAAAGTGTAGATATAAAACACAAATATCCAAAAGGCTTCAAATAAGAATAATTTGGTTGTTTTCCAAAGACTACTTGATAAGGAGACCTGTTTTGAAGAACTTTAGAAGGAAACCTATTAATCAAATGTGTTGTAGTAAGAAGACAATCACCCCAGAATTTCTTTGGGATATGTGACTAAAATAATAAAGCTCTACAAGTTTCAAGCAAGTGTCTATGTTTGCATTCAACCACTCCATTCTGTTGTGGAGTTGCAATGCAAGTGGTTTGATGAATTATTCTTTGAGAACAAAAATAATCTTTAGGAATGTTCCATGTTCCTAATTCATGAGCATTATCTGATCTTATTACTTTCACTTTGGCTGAAAATTATCTTTCAATAAGGGCAAGAAAGGACTTCAAAATAGGAAAGGCATTTGATTTTGTGTAAAGGAGATAAGTCCAAGTACTTCTAGAAAGATCATCCACTATAGTAAGAAAATACTTTTCTCTTTTATATGTTGGAGTATTGTAAGGTCCACATGTATCAATGTGAATCAAGTCAAAACACTTCTTGGATTTAATAGTGTTGGTTGAAAAAGGTAGTTTAGATTGTCTTGCCATGGGGAAAATTTCACAAGGAAAATCTGTAAGTTCTCTGAAAGTAATAAGAATTCCAGTAATGTTATTCATTGCATGATAAGGTAGATGTCCCAATCTATTGTGCCAAAGTCTTTCAAGAGTAGAAACATTGCAAATAGGAATAATTTCATTGGTTCTTTCATTCAAATTTTCATGACAAACAGGACTTAAAGACTCCAAACATGACTTAAAGATTTAGAACAAGCAGACTTGAACAAAAAAGGACAAGACTCTGTGGCATTACACTTAGGTAATTGACTGGAAATTGGAGAAACTTGAACATGAAGCTTGGAAAGGGCTTGGGAAGTGTTATATTTCAGCATATAAAGACCTGTTGTTGCTTCACCAAAAAGCTGATGCCTCTTCATTGAAGGGACATGTATAAAACACCCATGCTTAATAAATATCAGAATACAATTAACTTGCTTGCATAGTTAATATACTGACAATAAATTATGTTTGAATATAGGGACAACAAGCACATTATGGATCTCAAGATCTTAGTTTAAGAACAAACTTCCTACTATGGTAACCTTTACTTTGTATGAATTAGGTAAATTAACAAAGATGGGATTTGAAAGTTTCTTTATGTTATGAAGCAGGTTCCTATCATATGCCATGTGTTGTGTTGCATCTGAGTCAATAATTCAAGTATTATGAAAAAGGTTGGAAAATAAAGAGGTAAAAATGTGTAGAACAAAATCTGTACCAGCAAGGTTAGCACTAACACCAGGCTCAGAATTTGAGGTTGATCCACTGGATCCTTGCACTGTCCGGAACATTTGGATTAATTTCTCACATTGTTCTTTGGTAAACCCTTGACTCAAGTTAGCACTGCATTTTCTCCAGTACCTACACTATCTCCTTCTTCGGCATTTACTGCATTAGCTTGATGGTTTCCATAGCCCTCTTTCCTTTGTTTGCTTATCTTGAAATGTTCCGGATAACCAACCAACTTGTAGCATTTTTCTTTAATATGTCCTGTCTTTTGCAATATCTGCAGTACAACTCATTTTTCCTCAGATCAGAGTTAGAAAGCTGATTTCCTCCTTTGTTCTCTATGTTACTCCTTTGTCCATTTCATCTCTGTCCACTCAATATAAAGCATCAGATTCAGTGGAGACATGATTACCCGAGTGTATCTCCCTTTGAGTTTCCTCATGCAAGATGATTGAGTAAGCTTGTGCAGTTGTGGGGAGTGGTTTCATCATCAAGATATTACTTCTTACTCCACTGTAAACATCATTCAACCCCATCAGAAATTGTATTAGCTTTTGGTCCTCATTCATCTTGTCGTTGTGTGACTTTGCACCACATTTTCAATCACAGTTGCAAGTCATAAAAGTATTTAGGACCTTCATTTGATCCCAGATTCTCTTCAGCTTAGTGAAACACCCTGCCACATCATTAGTTCCTTGGTTGATGTTGTTTAGCTCTCTTTGTAACTGGAACAACTTAGTCCCGTCAGCTTGTCCATAACGCTGCTCTAGCTCATTCCACGACTCTTCAGCCGTCTGGGAGTAAATAACACTCTCTGCAATGTCCTTGCTGAGAGAGTTAAGCAACCAAGCAATGACCATGTCATTGCACCACCTCCATTGATCTTGCATTAGTGGATCTGTTGGCATGTGTCACGATCCAAAATCCAACTAGCCGTGATGGCACCTAACCCAACCCGTTAGATAAGCCAATTATCAACTATTAAAGCAACTTAAGTAAAGAAAAATCTTAATCTTATACATTCCCCAAGAACTGCTAGTACAAATTATGAGCTTCTACGAATATAATTTACAAAACTGATATGAAATAATACATTATCTATTCGAAATGTACATGAACAGATTGTTATAAATCTAAGGCTACCATGAACAAGAGGCCGCTACAACCGGAATGCAGGTACATTTTCAGATCCAGCTCCCAACGAACACATCAACATCAACAACCAATATCTGCACACAGGGTGCAGAAGTGTAGTATGAGTACAACCGACCCCATGTACTCAATAAGTAACAAACCTAACCTTAGGTTGAAAGTAGTGACGAGCTTTTACCAAGGTTAGGGTCCAACTCCAATAACCAACAATAGTTTATAACAACATAAAGCGAGTAATAAAAAAAGTAACTCAAAGAATAAATGCTCAGCTACATCATGATTTCTGAAAACAATTCTGCCTTTCCAGTGTATCAGTGAAAATCCAAATCGTTTACCAAAAATATGAGTAAGTTTAAAAATAGTAATTTTTGCAAAACTCCTTGCCACAGTAAATACGATGTTTCATTTTCTTTCCAGATAGCTAGTGAAAAATGCATCATTATGCCCATAGGCCAGTATGTGTGAGAAGTCATGAATAATGTGATACCGTACAGCATGAGAAAAATGCATCTTTATGCCTGTATATCAAATGTGCATGTCAATGCGATGCAACTAAGTGATAAAGTCATATGCATACTCTCAGAGTATCATTTTACTCAGTTATCCCAGTCACTCAATCCTCACAGTCACTGAGTCCTCATAGTCACTCAGTCCTCCCAATCACTCAGCACTCACACTCAGTAGGTACATGTGGTCACTGGGGTGTGTACAGACTCCGAAGGGGCTCCTTCAGCCCAAGCGTTATAATCTGCATGGACAACTCACGTGCTGCACGGACAACTCGCGTGCTATAGTATCAATATCTGTATCCGCACGGACAACTCACGTGCTATAATAAAGTATATAAAGCCAATATGTCATGCTGCGGTGTGGAGCCCGATCCCATAATTATCCTCACAATCAGGCCCTCGGCCTCATTCAGTCATCAATATCTCCAGTCTCTCGGGCTTAGAATGTCATGAAACTAGCCCAAAATGATGATATGATGAATCAATAAATAGCAACAGATACTAAGCTATGATATGTAATAAAACGAATATGACTAAATATAAATCTTCAATTTAAACAAATAATTCACAATAATATGACCTCTGTGGGCCCCAATAATACTAGCACATAGCCTCAACATGATTTTTAATATGATTCTCAGCTCAATTTCTTTAACACATAAAACTACATAGAAAATGCCAAGATTATTTGACTACAAAATTTCACAGAACCAATTATGTCATAATTTCTATGGTGCACGCCCACACGCCCGTCACCTAGTATGTGCGTCACCTCCCAACAATTCACATAATACATATATCCAGGGTTCATACCTCAGCTCCAAGATTAGAAGAGTTACTTACCTCGAACAAGACGAATTCAATGTCGAGCAAGCTAAATAATGTTCCAGAAATTCTATTCTGCGCGAATCAACTTCCGAATGGCTCGAATCTTGCCATAATTAATTTGATTCAATCCACAAAATTATAGGAATTAATTCCATATCAAAATACTAATATTTTCCACAAAATCCGAAATTACACCCCAAAAATCACCCATGGGACCCACGTCTCAGAACCCGACAAAAGTTACAAAATCCGAAAGCCCATTCAACCACGAGTCTAGCCATACTAATTTTACCAAATTC